TTCGAGGAATCTGAGAGTGCTTCTTTCTGCTAAATGTCGGTTAATAAAGGGTCTTCATGACATGGATTCCTAGACTGAGGCTGACTTTGATTTTGTCTGAGTCCATCGTGTCCAGAAGATCCTGAGGCGACGATTTTTTTCGATTTACAAAAGATGTAAAATTTTGAAAGCGCAGTTGGCTTGTGCAAATAGGGGAGAAACAAATGAAAACGGCGACATCGAAAATTTCGTCGCTGTCAAGTCTCAACGGGCCGGCCGTTGTTGACACGAGTCAGTCACATCACGTGCCGTGACCTTCAACAAAGACACGCTACTAATCCTTGATTAAGCCACGCGTCGCCGTCTTGGCATCCACTCTTTTCCCTAACTTCCACACTACTGTTTCAAGACCTTGGATCTTCCTCAAGCATCGCGGTTACGGACTTATGAAATCGTTCCTTTCACGTGGCGTTTTCATTCCATAATTTTCTTGCGATTACCGAATGATCCTTGCATTTTTCTCACTTCTACGCCAACCATATAACTTGCAGGTTTCCTTCCTCCATCCAGCAAGCTCCTTCCGAAATCAACGTCATGCGATATCAGTTCATGGTTACGTCATTTTGCTCCGACATTCGGTAGGAACGGATCAATAAACATCGTTCTTTCTGAAGAGATGCCCCGTTATCTCATCTCATGTATCGGAGGAAACACTGACAATCCTGGATTCCACAGTGTAACAAATAACACGTGGCCCCGATATATGAGCTCGACGGATACGTATCAAGTCTGATTCTCTTTGGAAATGGTCGCATAGTCATCCTCTATGCTAAGAATGGATCTAGGTAACCTATCTTGTTTTGTGCTCTTAATGTCTGCATTATTCAACGAATCTCCCATCATCATTCTCGAGGCGCATACTTTGGGCTACAGAATGCCTTCCGGCCAAAACAACGGACAGAAGGGGTCAGGAAAATGGCGATTCCAGCTCCTTACAGCTACTGAGAAGCTTTGGCTATTTATATAAGAATTCATATAAACTGTTCATTAGATCCCTTCTTCAGCAAACTACTCTACATTCTTCATCTAAAGTGTGATTCCCCCTTCCCAGGACCCAGACACAACAGCGCCGAATCGACGGTGCAAGTTCCTAAAGATTGGGGTCAGGCGATAATAATCTATGACGGGTGCCAAATTGCACACCGCTTCTAGATTTCTGAATCCCTAATACACCCCGGGTATCAGAACATACGGCACTTTTCGGTTCCACTCTGTCCACTCGTGACCGAATTTCCTATGGAGTAATCGATCCTCGACGGAGATCCTAAGCAAAAGGCTTGCCACAACTGCTGCAGCAACGAGTAACCAATACACGACCAAAACCTTCCCCAAGCACATGTCGATGAACCCGCATTCCATTACCCACGATCCGGTTGATTGGCTGCATATTGCGCCAAGAATGGTCAAGATCATCCCCGTATAGCTAGGGTGTCTAACGATGGAATAGGGTCCCCGCACGATGAGGCAATGATCCTGGTGTATACTGAGCTCGAAAGTGAAAAGGCGCCCAAGCACGCGATAACAGCACAGGCGAATAACGGTTCCCGCAATCGTGAGGACGTTCCCCAAGAGGAAGAGAGGGGTAATGACAATTCCATGTGTACGGCCGTTAAAATCCAAGGTCGACAGGATGAAATGAGATGCGGAAAGTGAGGGAAAGTGGTAGGCCAATATGACGGTCACTTCAATGATACAGATAGACCAAGATATGACCTGGCCGAAAGAGATATGGACCAGACGATCAGCAAGGTGTTACCGACGACTTACCCGCAGGAATGCGCACGGCCATGCGAGGCTCTTGAGAAATCTCTCTCTCCAGCCGGGAACAATATGCTCGACTAAAGGAAGTGGATCATTGGGAGGTTTCCCTGTAAGCCGCATGCAGATTGCGTCAGAGAACAAGAGAGGAATCTTGAATAAAGACATAAGAGAGTGGGAAAGGATATTCGGTAGGTGGTACTTAAATATTCACTTACTATAGATAACGCGACTTTTGTCCTTCCATTGGTGTCCTAAAAATCACACGAAGATCGAGCGAAGATTCAACATACACATACACTCACATGATGATTCCCCCGGATTTCTGACGGGGGCAAATCTAGCCCTGAAGAGCGCAAAATGAAGTGTTTTCTTTGACTAATACAATAGATCGAAGCATGAATCGCGATGCGGTTCGCATCAATGCCTTCATAAGAGCCGACTGATGACCAGGAGTAATGGAGTTCTAGAGCCAAGGTGAGGAAGTCGTGGCAAGTCGTGGCGAATTCGTAGCCCACGGATGTGAGTGCATCCTTCTCTTAACAGCTTCAGATGCACCAGTTTGTCGAAGTACCAATAGTGCCGTCCCTCGTACGTGGTCAATAGCGCCCTGGATTTGACAGGTCCAGGAAAAAGATATTACGTTAGAATGATACGGGAATAAGTATATGATCAAGATTATTTCCTAGTAGATTGTTAACGGCAGGAGACGACATGCAGGCATAGGTCAGAATAATCCCAGGAGTCAAGACAAGGATAGGTATTTACCTTCACTGATTGACACAGAAACTTCCGAGAAATCATGACGTTACGCGTGATAGGCGCATGCTATATGGGCCGGAGAAAAATTGGTCATGACAGTTAGAGAATGAGATAATTTCAGATAGGTGTGATAGGTCTTACTCAAATAGGGCCTGCGAGTGACGTACAGTTTGATATTCACGAAGACAAGACAAGAGCATAAAAACAAGGCTTCATGCCGTACACGGTGGAGCCTGCCGGCCAGAATCATATCATGAAGGATCTAATCCATTTAATCTTTAAATGCGCACCTTTGTCGACTCCGTATGAGCTTTTCCCAATAAAGCCTTCTCGGTTGCTCAAGCCAAGGTTTATGAGCATAGGTTCGGATAGATTGTCATACCTTTTTTCGTCAGTCTATCAAGCGCATATTATGAGTTTCCCAGGAGTTAGATTGAGATTGCGTCACACGAGGCCACAGATAGAAAGGAGACAATCATTTGAGGTGCATTCTGGTGCCAATCAGTGTCTTGGAAAAGTACTGTCGTAGACTTGAGCGGCGCTACGACGTTTGGTGCTCAACTACGTCGGGATTGGCTGTAAAAGATATCTTCAGTGATAGAAGTTCACTCCAAAAAGGATAGAGCCGCATTGGATACGGGAATGATATCAGAACAGATAGTTACGGGCTGCGGGCAGCGTGGGACCACCATATCGTTCGAATTTGAAGTTAGGTGAAAGTGTCAACCTCAGTCGACGGCAGAACTGTTGATCTGTTGGCAGGTTGGAGGATAATTCCACCTAAGTACAATCAACAACCGTGAAAGAAATGTTAGAGATAAAATTCACCAGAATGAGAAAGTACATGCAATCTTCATGCAATCTTCATGATAGCAAATCGGCGAGCGGCAGGACCCGAAAATCCGGCGGCATGGTACCAAGCCGGCCGAAGATGGCCGAACGAGAACAAGTTGTTGCTTCCTTCCCGAACCCACCCAAATCACCATTCCACATCATTCGCTCGCCCGAAATGCCAGTCGAGAGCCCATCACTGTCAGACCCTTCGTTCTTTACTAACTGTGATCAGCCCTCCCAGCTGAACTGGGACCATCTTCAGCCAATGGGCTCGCGGAATCATCGTATAATGTCCCACTCACTTCATGCTTATTATACCCTGTCGCGTTTGTTGAGTATCTAGCAAATGCCAAATAGTTGGCCGGCTGCCATACCCTGAAGAATGGACAATGTGCAACGTTTGCTGGTTCATATCTGTGATCTTAGCAGACCCATTCTCGTGCTCACAGTTCTTTGTTATCATGGCTGGGGCTTTGACAATTTGATCATTCAATTTATTAATGGAAGACTCCGACTTTTGAAAGTGTTGGCGAGTGCCTAATCTGCGCTTTGACCCTCCTATATACTCCGACGACTTTTCTTTCTCTAAAGGTGGGCGCTATCAATTTTAACTCTTTTAATCTGCTTTTAATGATTGACTATTACCTTCAGGGTCTGTTCACTGTGCCATTCATTCCAAAAGGAAGAAGATCGGATGAAACGCACGATCAATTACCTTTTCTTTGTTCGTACCAAGTCCATCTAAGACATCGCAACCGTTTGCCTTTGACAGTGCTCCGAACCGAGCCTCGGAAGTCAGTTACACGCCACTTGGACCAGCGGCAGACAATACAGACCCTTCACATCTCTTTTTGGTCCTACCATCTTCTGCTGAATTCGATACTTCTCTATTCTGTTATGCCGGTCTCCAAGAAGAAGACCAGTTCATCGAAACCTCGAAGGAAGGCCACATCGAAGATGAAACAAGAGGTTTGTTCCTCTTCGTTTGTTACTTGGCCTTGTAGCTGATCATATTCTAGGACGGTCCCAAAAAACCGCGACCTTACGTTCGTTTATTCCCTCCTCGGCGACTTAAACTAACTGTGACCTAGTCATCTTACGTGCCCCCGCCCACATCCAACCCTGCATATCCGAGTCTCTCCCTTTCCGAGTCCAGCGGCGTTCTCTCGGACGGGCGTGAACGTTCCAACCGACAACGCGTCTTCCTTATTCAGTCAGATACCCGCCTCAAAGTGCCACGAACAGATAGAGCAAAGTTGCTATGCAATGTCCCTGTTCCGCAAGTGAATCTCCCAGCCATACATCCACTGGACGAATGTACTACTCTGTTCACCACTTCCACCGTCTCGGATGGTGTAATATTTGGCTGCTCGTTGACAGACGCACTTTCGAGAAGGAACCTCACTAGCCCCAACGTACCGGCCTTTTGGGAAAAGAAATTCCAAGGCAGGGCCGAATTCGTCTGGCACTTATTTGTGAGTAGAGTCTGCTCTGATGATGGTAGATGCTGAATTTATACCTATTATCTAGTGGCCGGGATACAATACTAGAAGGACCATTACCTTTTCTCCCGAAGACGCCGGCATTCGTACACAAGGAGACCTGGGCAAGAAGAATTCTGCGTGGTAGCCTGCGTGGCTGCGTGGCTGCGTGGTGCGTGGTTGCGTGGTCGTCAGCGTGGTCGACAAATTGCGGGGCTCCCATCAAAAGTTGATCGAGTCCATCAAACACGACTCGAGAGTCGACGTATTCCGTTCTTTTCTGTCAATCCTCGCATAGAATCAGTTTGATTGTCAATACCTGTAAGATTTAAATATGACAGCTTTGGTGGGATTTCGAAATGCTTCAAAATATGGTCAATATCATGAAATTTTCGAACTTGATTGCCAAGTTTAAGAAGATCAAATGTATTCTAGCTGAAGTAAATAATTTTACGGGTATCCTAACAGTATGAAAAGGCCTTAGAGGTGGTCTGCTAAGCTATAAGTAATAAGGCACACAATGTGGGGTTCCCAGTGAAGAGGATAACATGAGAAGGAATACGGATTTCTTTGATGTGAATGACACTGAAGAAACAAGCCAATCAAGAGGCAATTATACGAAGGATGTACTTTCTGAGGGTAACCTTATATGGGCTGGCGTGGTCTCTATGTGAAGCCTGCGTGGTGCCTGCGTGGTTGCGTGGTTAGTCAGCGTGGCTGTGCGTGGTCAGCCTGCGTGGTGTGGCTGCGTGGCTGCGTGGTTGCGTGGCTGCGTGGTACGCAAGCGTGGTTGGTTGCGTGGTCCAAGGTATACCCGTACATAAAGAAAGGTTGTTCTTGTGGAAATTAAATGATCGGTTTGGTAGTATTGGAGCAATCAAGGAACAATTGATGCGAAGGCAACGTTGAATTGATGTTCATAGTGTTGCGATATCTTTGGATTAATAACTTCAAGCTAGCAAAATGAGAGTGCACCTAATTTTCGATATTTAACCTTCTTATAATCCTAAATACACTCATGGAAGGTACAATGGTACCTAGAAATCGAGATTTGAAGGTCTAAAAACTCTAATTGGCGGAATTTAAGCTTTGAAATATTTTTGAACAAAGATCTATTTGTTGCAAACAATTTACCAATGAATAAGAAATAGATAAAAGGATATGTTTAGCGAAGCATTCTTATCATCACACAGTATATATGTACTGTCAAGGCAAGTTCAACTCAAGTTCAACTAATGACTTGCGTGGCGTGCGTGGCCACGCACCACGCACGCGTGGTACCACGCAGGTGACCACGCTGAATTTCTAGTGCCCAGGAGACCTTGCGTTCTTTTTGGCTAGTCATGTCAAAGATTTCATGATAGTACGTTCTCTGCCTTGCGTTTCGTTACTTCCCTATTGACATATTCACTATAGGAATGCACCGAAGGCTCACTCAAAGGAATGTGCACCGATCCGAACTGGGCCATAAATGAGGACAAGAACCTCGATGATTTCGGTATCTCGTCCTTCTGGACTCCGGACAATAAAACCTGGCGCGTCACATTCACAATGAAGCGGGACATCGCCGACGAGCTTTTGTTTTGTATGGAGCAGGCGAAGGAGGAGGTGGCTAGGGAGGCGAAAGAGAAGGCCGCAGAAAAGGCGGAGGCGGAGGAGTATGAGGATTATGAATACTGAGATTATTCTGATACGAATGTAGAACGGGGATCCTTGACTGTTATCATTGCTAGAGCGTTCGATCGCCTTGTATATCTCATGATCTTTTGCGACTTGTATACATCTAACGAATCTTTTATTGCATTGTTGACATCCGTACAGAATAGCCTATCAAGTCGAATATCAATTCAGCATTCGTCAGGTAAGTAATTAAGTGAGGCCCATTGCCAAACCCGACACAATGTCTCATCGTGTCGCCTAGCACCTAGACCAATGATGTCTATCCAACGCTGCGTGCTTTCCTCAGCTCGTTTGACAGCATTACTCCATCGTTCAATGTGTGCGGCAGGTACACTCTTGTACAGCATAAGGATCCGTGTTACGACATCTGGATATGGCGTTATTTCCATTGGCGCCTGATCTTCGTAAACGGATTGAGGAACGAATACCAAGGCAACATACGGCTTTGCCATAAGGCCAGATAGGTTGTTTCTGGCATGATATATCAGATAAACGAACCCCTCCAAAACGAGACGATCATACGATATGAAATGAGCCCGAGCTTCTGCTCCCAGACCTATAGTCCGCAAAACTCTATTGAGATAGAAAGTAACCGAGTCTCTGGACAGAACAACTGCGTGGTGGTCGTCTAGGTTTCCAGAGCCCTGGCAAAGGAAGAAATGATTAGCATGAAGACAAGGCTTGTATGCAATCTCACACTCTGCCGCTCTAAGCGCGGTCTTGGATCGCGAGGGCCAGGAATCGCAGGGAGAATATCCCTCTGCACTCCGACTTGTGCACACCATTCGGTCTGGTATCGGTAATATCGAGGCCCACTTTTCCTTGCCACTGTCCTCCAACGTCGTTTCATCACAACATCGAACATCCATTCTTGCTCCAAGTCCAGTTTGACAGTTACCTCAAACTGCGCTCCAGCGGGGGATAAGATTTGGATTGTTGGGTATTGCTTGATCACATCGGTCTCGGTCTCGATTTCGACGTCTACTGATTTCAGTTCTGGAAGCGCATGTGTCCACGTAGTCGGTGGGATCTCAACGTATTCGCCCTCGCATTCCGGAAAAGCATTTGTTCGCAGAGATAATGTTTCTTTCTTGAGCTTTGGAAAATGCGCTGAAATGGCATCTATTGCTTCCTATTGTGATTTAAAGGAATTTCAAGGACCACAGGCAGTATAAACTTACGTCGTACGTTCCTAGCATCGACCTTGGAAGTAATATCCGTTTATCAAGGCTTTTGATGGTCAAGAACTTGAATTTTCTGCCATCGGATGAGTTCCTGAACGGATGCGAGCGGTTGGAAAGAGCCATCGATGAACAAGCTGAGAATCTGACAACAGATGTTGGGGAAATAACATCATCGACAACATAAAACACGGCAGAGTGCTTTATATTGTTATCGGCAAGTGTTGTGTCAACATCCAGGATCACTCCTCGCCAAAAGACCCACAGCATTGACTGTTCTTTGCCAAACTCGGATGCATATGCTGCTAGATGGGTTGCTATAAGATTCTCTGGAAGCGTTCGAAATGCAAGAGTGCCCCCATATGCGTCGCGAAAGGATACGAGGACCTTGGAATTCGCGTCATCTTTATCTTCGTTTTCTTGAGCAGACACAACCACCTTTTCTTCATCATCACTCCAGTAATGGGAGTCAGATGCTTGCGCTTGAAGACACAAACCTTCCATAAAATATATAATCAGCTGACAGCGAAGAAAACAAGATGGCGACGAAACTTGTCTGAGATACAGATCCAACATCATAGACCCGAACGGAAGTCAATTCTGGTAAAATATCAACCTACGACGCGGCTGACAGAGCAACCTGTTGCCCTTCGCATTCAACAGGATTGTCCGTACTCAGCCTCATTCGGTGTGGAGGTATTTCGGGGAAATGGCACGCTAGTATATTTATTGCTTGCTATATCGCAGTCTGTATTGGATAAAATCAGGGAAAGACACGCACATCAAATGAGGTACTAAACATCGACTTCGGTAACAGAAGCCTAGTTTGGCCATGAAGCACAACCAGGAAACCAGAGTTCATCTTCTCTTTGACAGAATCTGACACTGACATAATGTGCGCAGGTTATTTTGCTTGACGAGATTTATCCAGACCTAGCAGTCGCGCAAATGCAAGTTGATATCATAAGAACGCGACTGTTGATTTCGTCCACGTGATTATTATGTAAGCCGGCCTAAATTTGCTTCCAGCAATTCCATGCTTCAGACTGCTTACGCCCAACTTGTACTGCTATTTCGTGCGACTCGAGATCATTGACTATCGTCCTGCTGATTCTTATTTTGCCGCAAAAAGATCTCATAATTAAATTATCGACTAATATCATCAATGCGCCCCTGGGCGATGAGCTCAAGATGAGCTGAGTCCCAGCTAGCAGTGGCATTTTGTTCTGGTGCTGGCGTACTTCCTACGTACTTCCAGCAAGACATGCACCATTTATCGTGTCACAGGATAAAAACCTGCATAATTATCCTTCAGTCTGGGCTGTTATACATATTTTTGGCCTAATGAATAGTCTGTGTCGTGGTGGGATCATGGCGACGGCAATCTCAAGTCGCTTCTAAAAATGTAATCAGCCCTCGAAATTCTGATATTGTTCGAGGAGCCATCACCAGCGTCCGACGTCCAGTGTCGAAGTCGAATCTGCCCTCCGTTTCTGCTCGGCTTTATCCGGTCCGAGTGATGTCAACAGCTCTTGCTCCGTCAAACACCACACGGCGTCTTTATATCTTGCCTTCCACCATGACTCCCAGCATGGTCCATTTGAGCTCGGAAGAGCTTATGGATGCCTTGATGCAAAGGATACAGAAACAGTACGTGTAACTTCTATCCGGAACCCGTTTCCCACTGATTTGAATCTCACAAAGCGCCTCTAAGTGGGACACCGCCAAGGTATGTGGCGTTCTTTCACTATGATTCAAATCTCAGCGATTTCTCAGATTGATGCCATGGAGAAGCGTCTTCAGACGGCAGCAGCTGTTGTCAGAGGTGCCCGTAATTCCCATCAGCCTATCAACCGTATTCCGCCAGAACTACTCGCGGTGATCTTCAGTATGACACAGCACCACCTTCCCGGCTTCCTTCCTCTGGTCGGGAAAGGCAGTGACTATACCAAAGGACGGGATTGGTTGCGCCTTCTCGAGGTCTGTCGTCATTGGCGCGGTGTAGCTGCCACCTTTCATTCCCTTTGGGCCACCATCGATAACGATCATATGCCCCTCACCTTTCTGAAACGTTCATCCGAATCATTGCTTACGGTTGTTATCGGTTTGAAGAAGGCACATTTTGACCAACATTATCTGGCAAAGATGATGGAGGCACTGTCTCGCATTCGCGAGCTTCACATCGATTTTTGTCACAGTGGATCGCATCTTGAGTCCAGCATTACCCTCACAAATGGTGCACCAAATTTAGTGAGCCTGTCACTGCTACCAAATCATCATCCACATACGGCTGTCGGGGTTTCCTCCAAGCTTTCGAAGCTGTTTATGGGAGAAATGCCGAAACTGAAGCAGCTCTGTCTCGGATATTTCACATCATGGCCACAGGAATACTTCAAGGACCTAACGCACCTTTGCCTGTATGAGCAGGACACATTTACACGCCCTTCGACGTCTGATTTTCTCGACTTTTTGGAGTCGTCGCCACGTCTGGAGAAGCTTGCATTGGTTGACGCTGGGCCAACACGTTACATCTCCGATGACCTACCCCTGGTTCCTATCGACCGCGTTGTGGCTCTCGATCATCTCAATGAGATCAACATGAATGCCAGCAACGGTATCGCTTACATCACACGATTACTATCGCACCTAGCCCTACCCGAACAAACGAACATGTTCTTCTGGGGCCAGCCGCTAGTTCAACAGCAAGAAGAGCTTTCCTCCCTCCTCCCTTCTGATATCTCCCACCTCCAAAACATGCAAAACATCCAGGAATATCGGTTGATAGAGTCCGGGAACGACCGACGCCCCTCCCCTGACATTGTCGCCGTGATCAATGGTGTCCTATTTATCCGCGGAAACTTCGCATTGGCTCAACTCGCCACTCTACCCCTTAAATTCCCACTAAATAACGTAAAAAGATTGCTCTTCAATACCAATCGCTGTTCCCCCCCGCCATGCACATGGTAACTTCGATACTATATCCCGGATGTGGAGAGTTGCGTTTCGAACACATG